GTGGGTCTGTAGGGCCTGGACATGGCGCTGAGGGGCTGCCCCGCTGGAAGATGAATAAAGGCTGGCTGGAGCTGGAAAGCGACCCGGGCCTCTTCACCCTCTTGGTGGAAGATTTTGGTGTCAAAGGTGTGCAAGTGGAGGAGATCTATGACCTCCAGAGCAAATGCCAGGGCCCTGTATATGGATTCATCTTCCTGTTTAAATGGATAGAAGAACGCAGGTCCCGTCGCAAGGTGTCTACCTTGGTGGATGATACATCTGTGATTGACGACGATATTGTGAATAATATGTTCTTTGCCCACCAGCTGATCCCCAACTCCTGTGCCACTCATGCCTTGCTGAGCGTGCTCCTGAACTGCAGCAGTGTGGACCTAGGACCTACCCTGAGTCGCATGAAGGATTTCACCAAAGGCTTCAGCCCTGAGAGCAAAGGATATGCAATTGGCAATGCCCCAGAGTTGGCCAAGGCACACAATAGCCATGCCAGGCCTGAGCCACGTCACCTCCCTGAGAAGCAGAATGGCCTTAGTGCAGTGCGGACCATGGAGGCATTCTACTTTGTCAGCTATGTGCCTATTACAGGCCGGCTCTTTGAGCTGGATGGGCTGAAGGTCTACCCTATTGACATGGGCCTTGGGGGGAGGATGAGGAATGGACAGATAAAGCTCAACGGGTCATCATGGAACGAATTGGCCTGGCTACTGAAGGGGAGCCCTACCATGACATCCGCTTCAACCTGATGGCAGTGGTGCCTGACCGCAGGATCAAGTATGAGGCCAGGCTGCATGTGCTGAAGGTGAACCGCCAGACAGTACTGGAGGCCCTGCAGCAGCTGATTAGAGTAACACAGCCGGAGCTGATTCAGACCCACAAGTCTCAAGAATCACAGCTGTCTGAGGAGTTGAAGCCAGCCAGCATCAAGTCTGCCCTTGTGCTGGAGGCAGGCAGGGCCCCATCGGCCTCTGAGGGCACGCACACAGATGGTGCAGAGGAGGTGGCAGGTTCATGCCCACAGGCTCCAACTCATAGTCCTCCCAGCAAACCTAAGCTGGTGGTAAAGCCCCCGGGGAGCAGCCTCAATGGTGTTCCCCCCAACCCGACCCCCATTGTCCAGCAGCTGCCAGCCTTTCTAGACAATCACAATTATGCCAAGTCCCCCATGCAGGAGGAGGAAGACCTGGCAGCGGGTGTGGGCCGCAACCGTGTTCCCGTCCGTCCACCCCAGCAGTACTCGGATGATGAGGATGACTATAAGGATGAGGAAGAGGAGGATGTACAGAACACCAACTCTGCCATCAGATACAAGCAGAAAGGAACAGGGAAGGCAGGGTCCTTAAGCAGTTCTGCAGATGGGCAGCTATCAGTGCTGCAGCCCAACACCATCAATGTCTTGGCTGAGAAGC